AGTAATGAACTCTCAATTTTCAGTTCTCTACAGTTTATTTTCATCTCTTTTTTTTTTTTTTTTACAGCGAACTGTTGTCAGTTAGTTACTGTAATTTCTACAGGTGGTTTTTTACAGTGTAGATATGAATTTACAGTTTATTTTAATAAATATCAAAAATCTAAAAGGTGTGCATTATAACTGAGACCTACATGAACATGTTACAGTTTTTTTGTGTTACTGTAAGTCATTCTCCTCAAATGCTATTGAAGTTAGAAAAGTGTATACCAATGTCGTATGTAGCTTTACGGACAATACGGCTCAGTTTTTCTATGTATCTTGCTCTGTTGAACGGCAAAAGTGACTTTACTAGGCTATACTGGATTTACACCATGCATCTCCTGTCAGCGGAAAGCCACGCCCCCAGCTATCACAAGACCCGACCAAGTCCATGGTTGACACCCTCTCATTAGCATGTTGTGCAGAGGAAAAATACATGAGTGATCAAAGGAAAATAAATAGGATGAGTTTAGCATTTTCTTAAACATTTTCCATTTGCCCACCAATTTATTTTATTTATTTGCCTACTTTAATCACATGTTTAATTATTTCTATATGCATTTAAACAAGTATTTGTGTATTTATATACACGTTTATTTATTTATTTGCATATTTATTTATTTATTTGTGTATTTATTTATTTATTGTTTTTGCAGGTTTCGTCCTCCATAAAAACAAGCTTCCATAAATATTTGATGTTAACATTTGACTAACTTTCTTTGTATTTGTTTGTCAGTCACTTGAAAGCACGAGACGAATGTTACAAATGACAGAAGAGGTAAGAGGTTTTTTTTTAATCAGTTTAACCAATGACACATGAGTGCGCCTTAAAAACATTGTTGTTGTTTATCACACAAAAATGCTGTTGTCATTTGCTCATTGCTTAGAGTTGAACTTGAAACGTGTATTTTTGCAGAGTTTGAGTGTTGGGGTCAAAACAATGACTATGCTAGATGAGCAGGGGGGTGAGTCCTTTATCTCAGTACACCTGATTCCTGATGTCTACTTCAATATAACCACACAATTTGGAGGCCTGTTCACACACTAAATAATTTCTGTAGATCTTTATGGATGATGTTTAGAGTACACAGGAGAGTAACTAGCAATGAAATGGTTATTTCTTGAACTATAGTCACATTTGCCATTGCTTGGTGAAATTTCATGTTCGAAATACAGTCATTTCTGCACAACTGCACAAAAAGGTGAAAAGTTTACCAACATAGATTTGACCCTGGGTTCAGGTTGGTCAAGCAAATTTGCTGCTTGGTTGGAAAGTGATCTCTTGCGTGAGAGATATACAGTATACTATACTATACTTTTTTGCATGTGAAATTTTGATAATATGATTTTTATTATATATGATAATATGACCTTTATTCTCTTTTTTCTTATATTAGAAAAACTAAAGAATGTGGAACAGGAAATGGACCAGATCAAGCATGACATGAAACAGGCTCGAAAAAACTTGAATGAACTGTCCAAATGCTGTGGCCTCTGTTTGTGCCCTTTCAACAGGTTGGCTAGAGCAACTATCTTATGAATGACAATAAGTTATATATTTGAAGCAGTTACACTGTTTCCGATTACAACACAAATAAGAAGTAAGGAACTGTGGTACAATATTGAAACATAGGCAACTTCAGAAGTTTTCAACCAGAGGGCAGGGGTTATTTGGGGACCAAATGAGAATGAAATTAAAGCAAAAAAAATCAAAAATCCAAAAACTAAGATATTTTTTATTTGAATTCTTCCCCTAATTTTGAACCAGGGAACCCTGTCTTGAAAAACCTGGTTATATAAAGAAGTCTAATTTTGAAAGTGTGGTTTTATAGAACTGGAAAAGTAAATTAATAAATTAGCCGCACCTTTATTCTCTTTTTTCTTATATTAGAAAAACTAAAGAATGTGGAACAGGAAATGGACCAGATCAAGCATGACATGAAACAGGCTCGAAAAAACTTGAATGAACTGTCCAAATGCTGTGGTCTCTGTTTGTGCCCTTTCAACAGGTTGGCTAGAGCAACTATCTTATGAATGACAATAAGTTATATATTTGAAGCAGTTACACTGTTTCCGATTACAACACAAATAAGAAGTAAGGAACTGTGGTACAATATTGAAACATAGGCAACTTCAGAAGTTTTCAACCAGAGGGCAGGGGTTATTTGGGGACCAAATGAGAATGAAATTAAAGCAAAAAAATCAAAAATCAAAAAACGAAGATATTTTTTATTTGAATTCTTCCCCTAATTTTGAACCAGGGAACCCTGTCTTGAAAAACCTGGTTATATAAAGAAGTCTAATTTTGAAAGTGTGGTTTTATAGAACTGGAAAAGTAAATTAATAAATTACAATTTATGAATAAATGAATATACATTTTTTCTAGTTATGTAAAGCTCTACAATATTTTATAGGGTAGAAACTGTGAAGTCAAAAAAGGCTGAGAACCACTGGCTACATCTTTCTTCAGGCTTATTATTCAAAAGTAGAGGACTTGCTGTATATGAAAGCAAATGTTGTGTTTTGGATACTAGTTCCTAATGTGAAATGTTGGTCTATTGATATCCTCACCAGGTTCTTAACCATCAAGAATTTCTTGGTTTACCAGCTTCACTGTAAATACCATGCAGGTAGAACGGCTTTATCAGCTATGTTTTGTTGGTGAATAGGCTATATGTTGCACCATTACCAGCCTTAAACCAACACTTACTAGCATACCCTTACCAAAAAGTAGTATACTTCAAGTTTATTTTATTAAGTATACTTAAGTAAAGTTCAAGTATATTTTTAAGTATACTTTATGTAGTAAGCATACACATTTCAGTGTACTAGTAGTATACTTGTAGTGTACTATTTCAATACTCCTTGGGACTAAATTGGTCCACTTTCTAGTATATAAAAGTATACTTTTAAGTATAACAGTAGTAAACTTTGAGTACACAACTAGTTTACATCAATATTTTTAGCTTGTACTGCAACTATACTAAAAGTGAACTTATAGGTATACTGAAAGTTTTCTAATGAAATACTTGTAGTAGCATTTTAGTACACTTTGAAGTATGGTCTTAGTAAACTACTAGTTTAGTAGTTTTATACTGCAAGTATACTCGTACGTTTTCTTTAAGTGAACTTTACATTCTTTTTTAAACACTTGAATGTGGTAAGTTTTATAAAATAAAAAGAAATAAACAACATTTTGAACAAAAAGCTGAAAAAAGACTATGAATTGGATTCAGAATGATATCACGATAGATAGAGTCGATCAACACCCCAAAGCGTCATTAGTACCTCTTCATTTGTCAACATTTTGAGTATCTGCTTGTAAACAAAAACATTTCATTCTAGCTTCATGCATTCTTTTTTTAAACACTTGAATGTGGATAAGTTTCTCAAATAAAAAATAAAGAAATAAACAACATTTTGAACAAAAAGCTGAAAAAAGACTATGAATTGGATTCAGAATGATATCACGATAGATAGAGTCGATCAACACCCCAAAGCGTCATTAGTACCTCTTCATTTGTCAACATTTTATTCAATTAGGTTACACAGTTTTGATGCTGTTTTATGTCTGATGATCGTGTTAGATTACATGTGGAAGCATCTGTTGTTTCGGTTTCTTCTTCACTTGTGTTTTTTGGAAATTCTGTACTGAAGATGTGTACTAGCGCCCCCTATCGTATAACAATGAAAACACGGATTCAAGTATACAGTAGCTCAAATATATTTAGACTTTTTCAAGTATAAGTCAAGTATACTTAAATGTCATTTAAGTATATTTCTGAGAAGAACATAAAGCCCATTTCTGAGAAGTACAGAAAAAGTAGACTAAAAGTATACTTTCCTATTTTTTAGTTTAAAAGAAGTATACTAATAGCACACTTGAATAAACTTCTTTTTCGTAAGGGTAAACAAACCTGGCCATACTTTTCAGAAGCGAAAATAAACTAAATTGGCACTTTTAGTTCAAGGTTTTCACCTCAGTGCTTGTATTTGATGTATTTCTTTGGATTTGAATGGATTCTCTGTCAGACTGAAGTCCACCGAGAGTGACTGGAGAAAAAAGCAGGTCAGAAAACCAAAAGAAAGCAAGCGGAACATGGTATCCAGCCAACCGACTGTTGTCCACGATGGGCAGGCCCCCACTGGCCCCTACATCAAAAGGTGAGGGAAAAATAGCACTGAGAGTGACAGAATCCAGCTCTCATAGAGATCAAATGTGACTGTCTGTTGATATGATAAAGCTAGCTGGAGATTTGTGTTATACATTGCCATATGGCATAAGCTGTTAGTTTACATAACTATTATGCTTATTTAATAGATGTGGCCTTAAAGGTCTTAGCTGGAAATTCAGATGATGATTGTTTTGTTTCTGTAAGAATAACAAATGATGATCGAGAAGATGAGATGGAAAAGAATATGAATCAGATGGGCAACCACATTAAGATTTTAAAAAACATGGCACTGGACTTTGGCGACAGGATTGACGACCATAACAAAATAATTGATGATGTCAATGATAAGGTACTCTCATTAAATGACTAGATGTAATTTATTGAGGTAAAGTGTATTTGTGACTCAAGACATTTAGATCTACAATATCTGGCAGTACACACTTAGTGTGACAACTTTTCTTTTCCACACTGACATTTTGAAAGTTTGCATTAATTAAGTCAACAAATATACATTTAAATATTGATAGATAGATAGATAGATAGACTCCTCAACTGTGACAAATGTGACTCCTCAATTTATTATTAATATAATTATTTATTAATTCATTCATTTTATTTTTTTATTTGCCAGACTGCAACAACTAAAAGTGAAGTTGCTGCTGCGGAAAAACAAGCCAGGAAACACCATTAAGACAAATAAAGAAAGAACCACCAAAACTATATATTTTCTATACATCTTAGAGTGAACAATTAATTTGTGAATGCAGACCCCCCAATGCAATTGTCATTGACACTTGTACATATGACAAATAAACTGAAACTGATCCGCAGTTCCCATTCTACATGTATTTTTATTTTTGCTTTTTCTATGATCCATTTCATTCAGATGTACATCATCATATGGAAGAAAAGATCTGCCGCTACTTCCATTTCATCATGACTTTAACTCTTTCTGTGCCATTGGTGCCTTTTTATTGTTATTATTATCTTGATGTTTGTAAATATCTGGACAGAGCTGTGACCTTGAATAAACTGCATAACGAGGCATTATAATTATTGAGCTTTTGGAAAGCTTGATTGAAATGTATGTGTAAATATCTTTCAGACTAAAAGTCTCCATTTGACAGGTCAGATCAGAATTTAAACTATAAATAGGGCAATGCCCCAAAAATGTCAATGAATGAAAATCTCTTTTAATTTATGTGAACAATGACCAGCAGAGGTTGCTGTTAGACTGTTTTGAAATCTAACCACAGAAAGTGCTTCCTAAAATGGCATATTCATGTAGCATGTAGCATATTCTCTGCTTATGTAAGAGAATTTTCTCAGAACTGATCATACAGTATAGGCTATAAAAGCAGAACAAAACCAATTAGATTAATTATCCACGTCCTTCTACCTACTATCCATCATCATTTGTGTTCTCAAAGGGAGACACTGCAGTAAAGGAAAGCTGTTTCTTTGCCACCGCAAGTTGATTTGCCAATGCGTTTACTATATGAATATTAACATTTTACAGTAGTAGAGACCATTTTTACAATCTTGCCAAGGGTCCTATAAACTCACATGCCAGCTTTGCTTGCAAACTTGCTTGTGTACTTTCTTCTAGTGTATGTAATAACCACTGTTTATTATTGTATAGCGGTATTCCTAAAATGTATTTAGAATATTTCCCCTAAAGTTTATACCTGATGTTACATACTGACTCATCCATGAGTTATAACACCTGTTCTCCTCGCCTGTGTTTTTCTCATCACATGAGAGTTTTTTCTAGTTAGATATGTTCTGTAGTGGTCTTCTTTGCCCTACCACATTATTTTCTGTGGCGAAGAGCAGCAGAGTTTGCTTGCATCTTGAAAGTAGTCCTATATCAAGCAGTCCAACATTTTAGACTCTTTTCCTTCATATTCAGAGATACCTATGATGGGCAGACTTTTCGTAAGTTACTCTAGACTGTATAATTGCATGTAGTGATATTCAGACCAACATCACAACTGTTTTTACGCAACAGTCTAAAAAAACATGATGTTAATATAGAAGAGCTTACATTTTAAACACAATATTGCCATTCACTTAATCTATTTTTGCTGTCAAAAACAGTTATAAATGAAGCCAAACTAGGATTAACCAACCTGCAACTGATCTTCATATTCAGAGATACCTATGATGGGCAGACTTTTCGTAAGTTACTCTAGACTGTATAATTACATGTAGTGATATTCAGACCAACATCACAACTGTTTTTACGCAACAGTCTAAAAAACATGATGTTAATATAGAAGAGCTTACATTTTAAACACAATATTGCCATTCACTTAATCTATTTTTGCTGTCAAAAACAGTTATAAATGAAGCCAAACTAGGATTAACCAACCTGCAACTGACAGTAGTGAGTTTAATATCAGAGCCCCTCCTCTAGCCTTGAGGATATGCAAAAAAAAAATAATTTGCAACTTTATGTACCACACTATACTCACTCTTTCTTTTGGCCTCCACAAACAGTGATTGACTGTTGTAAACAATTTAATGATGTCAGGGCTATAATGTGATAAATCTGGAGAAAAAAAATCAAGATGCAAGCTGACTTTATTTTAAGTCATGCAGTCATCAACTGTCATTTTTAACGAAGATTTTTTAAATTATAATTAATATAAATTATGTCTTGTTACATCAAGCACTAAAATATGTTTGCTATTTGTGAGTAAAAAAACCCCCACACATTTTAAAGAAATCATTGTAACCTCAAAAGTCATGTAATTTCATTGGTAATAAAAAGCAGAAATCTTGAAGAACATTCAGTTTTTGACTTTTACAAGAGAATATCTGAGTTACTTTTTCAAATAAGTAACGCAAGTTACTTTTTTCCCAATTTATTGATTGACAGCTCTCCTGTCCCCATGTTGAGAGAAATCAGAAGATGTTACTGTAGTTCTAAAATAAATATGAAAAATTGCAACTTTATGTACCACACTATACTCACTCTTTCTTTTGGCCTCCACAAACAGTGATTGACTGTTGTAAACAATTTAATGATGTCAGGGCTATAATGTGATAAATCTGGAGAAAAAAAATCAAGATGTAAACTGACTTTATTTTAAGTCATGCAGTCATCAACTGTCATTTTTAACGAAGATTTTTTTATTATAATTAATATAAATTATGTCTTGTTACATCAAGCACTAAAATATGTTTGCTATTTGTGAGTAAAAAACCCCCCCCACATTTTAAAGAAATCATTGTAACCTCAAAAGTCATGTAATTTCATTGGTAATAAAAAGCAGAAATCTTGAAGAACATTCAGTTTTTGACTTTTACAAGAGAATATCTGAGTTACTTTTTCAAATAAGTAACGCAAGTTACTTTTTTCCCAATTTATTGATTGACAGCTCTCCTGTCCCCATGTTGAGAGAAATCAGAAGATGTTACTGTAGTTCTAAAATAAATATGAATATGCATTAATTCATCTCACTCACAAAAAAAACACAGATTCAGTATTCCTCAAAATGAATAAAAATAATGCAACTCAGAATATGACGCAAACCTGCAATAATTAAATGTTAAACAACACAAATATCCTTTATGTATTTAATCCCATTCTATTAACCAATGTCTTTGCTTCTGATCTTCGATGATCCAGTTCAAACATACTAATAAGCAAAAATTACCCTAGACAAACATTTGTGTGTCTTTTTTTTGTTGCTGAAGTGTGTTGAAATTTCTTCTTTTGCATTCTACTGTACGGACGTAAATTTACTTTCCCTTCAGCTTGAGGCTTATTCCTTTCACTTTTGGTGTGAAACGGCTTTTATATTTGCCAAAAATATAACTTTTTTATTTTAAAATCAAACAAGCGAGCCCTATCCAGATTTAAAAAGTAACGCAAAAGTAACGTAATGCATTACTTTCCATAAAAAGGAACTAAGTAACGTAATTAGTTACTTTTTTAATGGAGTAATGCAATATTGTAATGCATCACTTTTAAAAGTAACTTTCCCCAGCACTGATCACTTGTGAGCTGCTTTGTCATTACAGCAGAAGTGCCAAAAATATATTGGGAGGCCTTTGAATGTCATCTTCAATAATGTGGGGGCCTTGGAGTCAAAAAGCTTGTGAACCTTTGATTTAATATATTGTACATGCTATTGATTTTTTTAAAGCTTGTATTATTTCAACCTTAAATGCTTAAGACTTTAAATGTTTATATTCAAATTCAAGTTGACAATTACGCTTTCCAATAGTAGAGCCATTGCAGTCTTCCACCAAAGTTTAATTCAATTAAATTCACGTTTATTTGTATACTGCTTTTTCACAATACATATAATTTCAAAGCAGCTTTACAGGAGATGCAGGGTAAGAGTAATTTGTTATCAGAGGTGACTATATTAAAGTAATGTCATATGACAGAAAGAGATTTTCTTTACTTAGTGGTCTTAAAGACAGTGCTCGTAAGCATCCTTCAGAATCCAAAAATAACAAATGGGATATCTGGTTTTGTCCACAAGCCTGCAAGTGTACCATTAGGAACAGGGCCAATACAAAAATCTCTGATGGTACTTATACTGAATGAATCAGCATTTTTGAACAAATCAACTTAATGAATGATTCAATGACTCACTCATCAAAAGAGCCACTTCACTCATCAAAAGAGCCACTTCTCGCCATCTATTGCTGTAACTTGCAGAAAGAACAGTGCTGTAACTTGCACTTAAAAATCTCCACCGCCAATACACAGACCGACAGTCGGTCTGAAATGCACAAACACAAACCCTGTGCTGTCTCAAGTGAACAAACTTACTGTTTTATAAAAATAGTACATAGGATCCAATACTATATTTCTAATGTTAGCATGTATTCATACTGTACTGGGCAAACTAATGCTTCTAGACTACTGAATTAAAAAATTCCAGTATCTTTGTGAAAACACAGTTGCATGTGTTCTTCCTGTCTGAATGCAGAGCTACAGTGATTTGGGAAGTTTCATGCAGTGTTTCTGCTGAACTGGCAGCAACTGTAAGAGCCGAGTGGAAAGAGTGACTGAGTCTCCTGGATGTGTGGAGTGAGTCAGACCCCCCCCCCTTCCAAGATTCCACGGTAGTCATCACTTGAGCTGAACCCAGAACATTGCCGCCATTTAAACTTCCTCCCACCCCAAGAATCCACCTTTTTCCTTGTTTGTACGACTCATTAAGGGTGTTAAAGCAACATATCTACTGTACAATCCAGTTATCAAGTGAAAATCGATCACTCAGTTACCACAATGATATAAGGATACCTCACAATAGTGAGAGACAGAGAAGATCTCATCTACAAACCTGGCACTTAGGGCTTTTGGGTCAAGACGGCGATTGTGACTTTTCTTCTTTGAGTTCACTCACTTGTGGAAGTCACACCTCACTGACAGGAAGCATCTGCTTTGCAAGCTCTCAGGTTCACAGTACTCTTGTGAAGTACTCACAAACAAGCCTAGGCCAATAAACAAATTGATTTGTCATGCAAAACATCAGACTTCTACCAAAAAAAAAAAAATCATAGTACACAATTGGCAGATCTGAACTTATATTTTCATAGTATTATCTTGGTGCAATAACATACAAGTTCGTCATGCTCTTTAAGGTTTCAAAAGCTCTTATAATTAGAATCAACTACCTGTGAATGCAAACAGAAAACCTTAAAAGTGCATTATGCTTGGCAGCATCACAAATATCCCCCCCCCCCCCCTGCTGAAGTCTCTCAAACAGGCTGTGTAATGTTAAGGTTTTCCATCAACATTCTTTGCAAACATTATGGCTCCAACGATTAGGAGTATCGAGGAGGGTGGGATGGGTGGGATGCCATTTGCTCCCAATGGTGAAACTAACCATATGTTGGACTGCACACCTTATGGAACTTCTTTTGTTGTTCCTGAGCATCTGGAGT